TCTCTCTCTCTCTCTCTCTCTCTCTCTCTCTCTATCTCTCTCTCTCTCTCTCTTCCTTCCATAAGTTAGTCAGACGAGCAGACGAGGAGGGGTGAGGGAGGGGGCGATTTTGCTATTGCAGTGGGCGGCAGCCGTTACGGCCTGAACCCGCGGACGAGCCGATTCTCACGTTACGTCTCCTAGCCGACGATTCTTTTCTCGTGTACCAAGAGATTACGGGCGGCGAAAAGGTTCGCCGGTGCAATTATTTGCTCATCGGCCGTCACTCGCCTTCCAAGAAATGGATTAAAAATGGGAAGATCCCCCGGCAACGGCTAACCCCGTTCTGTGCCATTTTCGCCCGGTTTACCGATAATGCCATTAAGCTTACGTCAACCCACTGGACTTTCGATAGCGTTCGCGAAGATTGAGCTAACGATTTCACTTTTATACGATGAATTTTCCAAGGGAACGCTTCATTACGGGTGACCATGGCTTTTATTTATAATTGTAAGGAAGCTGTGTAATTGTCATTAGAGGCTGGGAGTAAGTACATAAGGCTGAATGCACATTTGGGATATTGTAGCGAGTACTTTGGCGCGAGTGTACCAATGGTTGAAAATCATCAATCGCTCGCTTACATGAACAATGGAGAGGTTCGAGTTTCTCGTTATTTATAACGAAGCCTATATGCGCCCGAGACTCCTCTGCAATTATCGATAATTTTACTCGTTAACTTACGATATCATGTTTAAATAACATTGTATTATATGAAATAAATGACAGCTGAGTTATAAAAGCCTGCGTATTATTCACAGTTTTACAAATGACAATACTAAATAGAAATTTGATAGAAATTAATTTAATGCTCAATGCGTGCGAGTTAAACGTGCGGTAAATGATGAATTGCATATCGCATGGCTTTTGCATAAGCAATCACAATTGTCTTTCTATGCTCTTTGTCTCTTTATGCTCAATAATGCCCTTTATTATTTATTATGGCATCGTAATAGTTGGACTGTAATAGTCTCGTATAAAATCTGGATTACAATATTGTCGCACTTGGTATTTGTTGGGGTCGAATAAACCAAGATTTATGGAGCCGTTGATAAGTGTATTCGAAAATTGACGTTTAAGAATGCGCCGATTGCTTACGACTCACAGCCACACACCAACCCACGTTACATATTAATATAAACTATTATGCCGGAATTTATTTTATGCGATCTAGCAAATCGAATATTTTCCGTGCAAGAATTATCGTGCAAATTTAATCAGTCATATCTAGCTTACATGTAATAATTGGAATCTTAAGCGAGCAATATAAACACAAAAAACAACAAAGAAAGAATAAAGAACAAGGAGGGAGGAGAGAGAGAGAGAGAGAGAGAGAGAGAGAGGCGAAGAAATGGTTCTGCAAAGCTTATAATATTTGTATGTATCCACAGTGGCTTGCGAAGATATTTGCCAGTAGCATCTGATAACGATAACACGAACCTTTTGCGTTTAAATTGAAATTTAATGTATGTAATCGCGCCGCGTGCAACCTCAACGTTACGCAAAAAAACCGTACTAAACAGTAAATTTGCAACGGTTCGCCACACCGTCGTTCGACGTAAGTCCAAATATTCGCGATAAATATCGAGTGCCGCTCTCACGGATAATATTATCGTTGCACAGGGACAGAGAACGAGCGGGGGCCTATCACCTTAGCGACTTAATGATAATACTGCAATTCGGTAAGTAGCCGCTTTCGAGTTTTTCAAATTAAAGAACAAAATGGGGGAAGCCGAGAAGGAACCACCGTTAACCTTTCCGTTGCATCGAAACACCTGATGCCGTAGTCGTCTCGCTTATGCATTAACTAGTCGATATTCCGCATTGTAATACAATTATTCTCGCAATTTTTATAGCGCGACGTCCTCGACGTCCTCGTAAAATAATTCCCTTCGCCAAACGCACGTGAGGCCGCGGCAGCGCTTAAAAACGTTTGAAAGAAGCCGAGGGGCCCGCCAAAGTAGGCCCTCCAAACAGCCACGGCACTCGGTCAACACATTTCTTATCTCTTCCATCCCTCCTCCCCCCTCCTCATCCTCCTCCTCCTCCTCCTCCTCCTCCTCCTCCTCCCCTTCACCTCGCATGTGGGGTAAGGTCATGCAGCGGCTGATGTACTCACGGGCTCGAGGGCCAGCTCCACCTCGGCCACGGTTCTGCTCCTCCTCTGGTGCCGACGCGGTCGCCTCGCCTCCTCGTGCATCACGGGCGCGTGTCCGCTCTCACGGGCATGAAGCTCGCACGGCCGAGCCTCGAGTCGGACTGAGGTGGTCGTGAGGGACTTGGAGCCAGCGGGCCAAAGGCCCAGGGCCGTAGTCGCACGGGGCCGCGCACCGGTCGCGTCACTCCCCGCCAGAGGAGTGAGTCGAGTCGCTCGTTCGCTCGCCGGCCGAGGCGCGTCCATCGTCTCCTTCGTTGCGCGACACGATACCCTCACCCCGCCACTTTACTCACCCCTCCCCTCACCACCTCACCCCGTACTCAATCGACCTCCTCCACCTCCTCCTTCTCCTCCTCCAGCATCACCACCTCCACCTCTGCCCCTCCTACTGCTCTGCCACGACTCATTCCGTAACGCCGGCTCGCAATTAGATTGATGGGCTCGTTATTTGCTTGATTAGATATAGAATAAATGGCTGCTGGAATGATTTCGCTTTATTGCGTATGCCGACGGCGGCTTATTGAATTGAATTTTCGCCAGGCCGACTTAAGGTATCTTGTCACGACTCCGTAATTAGGGCTGGCGCGCGATACAATTAATTTCCCTGGCATTTTACAAATTGACGAAACCCGCGGACTCGAACACATGCTCTACCAACCACTTATTCTAATTAAATCATTGCAATTTCTAAACTATAAATCATGCATACGTATTTATTTATACGCTATATCCGAATAGCCGGACATTTGAATGTATTTTGCATCTGTAATACGTAGCTGTTTAACCTTTAAAGTACGTCTTCCGTATTCCTACGTATTTAGATTTTTTCTTTCTTCATTTTTTACTTCACCTCTTACTAAATACGAACAACGAACGTTTTTTTAAATATCTCCTTAAATCTTGGTCACTTTTTTCTCTTTTTCCTCATCGTATCCATCTGCTTTTCTTCCTTCTTCTTCATTCTTAACCTGCTTAACCTGCTTAATACGCGTGCGCAATCTTATCTAAAACAAAATTATTCATTGCCTACTTGCTGCACTCGCTGCACTCGCTGCACTCGCTGCACCGCCACGGATGATTATTATGAAATTACTTTAAAAAAAAAAAAAAAAAAAAAAAAAAAAAAAAACAGAACATCCATCGGTTTGTTTGGTTTCGTGCGCGACGTGCCCGGGGCAAAGTGACGTAGGCAATGCTGTGCGGCACTTAACGGCGAGTAAATAAAAAGGTCATTTGTTCAAGAGACGAGAACGAAGAATATTTTACGTTTCTGGAAACTGCGTTTCGCCTCCGTGAATAACCAAAAAGTCGACGACTGTTGTATTGAGGACAGCAAAATTGTATCAATATTCTGGCGATAATAATAATAATAATAATAATAATAATAATAATAATAATAATAATAATAATAACAAAAAACAAAACCATAAGCAAAAAAAAAAAAAAAAAAACTTGCGGTTCAATCGTTTTTAAATTTCGTAAAAGTGTATTATTAGTGCGTGATTCTGATAATAATAAAAAAATTTCAAACCACAGCATTGGGAATATCCAAGCGAGTGCGCCTACAACGAAATGCGCACTACAGTGACACAAGGAAAAATCATAATGTTTCGTTTTTCCTCGGCTTACTACTCTAATAATTGTACACGTAAAAGGATATTTTACTCGGAAGAATAAACTTTCGCAGCACTTGGGAATATCCGTCTACTGAATTTTTGCAATCGTCTCAACCGCCATCGTCTTACTCGCGCTGGCCCGGCCTGTTTTGTGGCCAAAGTATACGCAGAAAAGCATTCAGGAGCAATACGGAGCAACACGAAGGACAAAAGACGAAAAATGCCGATAGCGCGCTTCAGTTCACATACCGTTCAAACCATAAATTCAAATGGAGCCTTTGAGGTCTGATTGAATCCGAGCTCCGTGCGTATTTTTTCTTTCTTCTCATTTCTTTTTCCTATCGCGTCTACCAAGAAAGTCGGCAATTTTATTTTGTATTTACTCCCGCCCCCATCCCCTCTCGCTGATTAGTTTTATTCGAATTCAACAATGTGTAATTGTTTGTCGAGGGTCTGGTTATTCTGTTAATCGCGTGTTTCGTGAATTTTTCAATGTCTTAGGATGTCGATTGAGTGATGTCATGCGCGGTGAGATTATCAACGCCTAATGTATGTCAAATATTACCTAAAGCAGTGTTTAATGCTTAGCGTCTACAAATCTAACGAACCTACGGCTAATGCGCATAAAATGAGAATGTCGAAGAATATCGTCTCTACGCTTCAAACTCCAAATGACAATAAAATAAATTTTTTTTTTTTTTGCGAAATTTGATAAAAATTTACTCTGCAATATCAACGATACAAGCAGCTTACTCGGGCTTTGATAGAAAACCGAAAGACATTGGAAGTATGTTTAGATACAAAAGCATTGAGAATATTAAGTGATAAATAGGATGACGATTCGAATGAATTGTTTGAAAAAAGACAAAGAGAGAGAGATAGAAGGATAGAGAGAGAGAGAGAGAGAGAGAGAGAGAAATATTACGATGCGTCACATCTCTGAAAATACTTAACGTCGGAACGTACTCGACTCGACATAAGTGCATTCACAGATAAGAGCGAGATGTGGGAAAGATCCGTTGGAATCCTTCACGATCTCGAAAGATTTGTCTGTCACGAGAGACACAAGCACGTGATTCCTACTGACGAGCTCGAAAATCGTTGTCATCCGCTATTCACTTTTAAATAATTTCGAGTCTCGAAAACATCGGAGATTTTACCGTTACCATAGGCATCGGACGAAAACATCAATTATTACTCATCCGTCATTATCTAACGAATTGAAAATTATTTATCCCTCCGTTGTCCTTTAGCGGTTGCTTGTATTTGCCAAAAAAAAAAAAAAAAAAAAAAAATTCAAAGCAAACAACAATTAATAATAATAATAATCAATGGATCAATCGTACATTGCTTTGCTTTTATTATAAGTATCGCGAGCATCAAAATCAATCGCACATAATATCTGCGTAAATTTCGATTTCAATAAGCTAAGGGCGGATAAGTATTCCGACTCACTCGACTAGCCAAACTAATTTACCGACAAGCGGCCGCATTAGTAAATATCCAAACAAATTTTGTGCAACGCTCGTATACACTATTCTTGCAAATATTATCCATCGTATTTCCTCTTTAAATATGAAAGTAAAGAAAAAATCAATTACTATGGTATTATTTACTCGATACGGAATATTGAAATGTCTCTCTTGGAAAAGTAAATGCTGAAATCGTAAAAGAAAAAATCTCTTTCGCGTTTTTCATAAAGCTCGGATATCTCGGGAGGCTTTCTCGCGAAAGAAATTTTAGCCGAAGCTGCACGCTCGGGGCAACTGGACGACGCGCCACTCGAGCGTAAAAAAAAACGCAACGTTCAATCACGAGGACAGACAGTCTTAAAAATCACTAGCACATCCACCGCCAGTTAATGCCAATGCTTTGACTAATCGAGAAGTTTTATTTGCCGTGGGTGGGTGGGTGGAGGGGGGAGGGAATGGAAAAACCCGCTGTTTTTTCGCATGATGGCGCGATAATACCGACGGCTCCTTACAACCTTGACCTCCCATAAAACTTGCGAGCTCACTGGTGTTTCACGACTACGGGCGAATAGTTGCCGCCACCCCCTCAACACCGCCATATCCCCTCCTTCAATTCCTCCTCCTCCTCCTCCTCCTCCTCCTCCTCCTCCTCCTCAACCAACCATCAACCATCATCCATTCGCGTAATGCGAGATCATTGCGTACTCGGCTGCACGTAATCGACAATTCATGAGGTATAACGTAAACTCGACCGAGGCGTTGTCGATCCCGTGCCATTGATCACGGCAACCGTGGCTGGCTCTCTTACTCCTACGTGTGCTACGTAGAAAAAATTAAAAAAATAAAAATATAACCATCGTCGTTAAGGTAACGTACCTCGAATGCCTCCCATCAATCGTCTCACCAACTATCCCCTTTGTATATTGATAATGAGTGACAGAAGCCGAATCGCAGCTGCTCGACACCTCAGATTCTTTCATTGCCAAGCGGCGAGGATATCGGCTGCGCGCGAAGGATGAGCGCCAATAATCGCTATCGACGTACTTTGAAATTAGACGAATATCTTACATAACACTCAACGTGCGTTACAAACTTTTATACTTTCGCCCATGATTGCTGATATAATTCGAGAGCAAATTATCCGGCTCGTATCGATTAGAGTTAACTGGCCGGCCGGCTCTGCTTCGATTAACCATTTCATTATTAATTTAACGACCGGCGGTCGGGAAACACATTCTTAAAGCTTAGTGCTTCGTTTAGCAATTGGGCCACGTGGCTCGAAACGTTTCGAAACGTTTCACCATCAGGAGACTTTTAATAGGACCGGGCCGTGGCGTTAATACGATTACGGTGAGCGCCTCGATCTGAAATTGCAGCGCTCGATCTCAGCGCAATACCAATCAAAACCCATCCAAAGGTATGAGAATTCCCATCCTATAAAAATCAAGGACCACTGCTCCTGTATCGTAATCACCGTGTCTACGCGTAATGGTGTTGTAGCCTCTTGTTCCCATCTGTCGGTCCCTTTTCGCTCGTAAGGACGTTATTAGCGACGCATCTCCCTCGAGGCGTACGATGAACATCCGAGGGACGTAGCCGCGACTGATTCCCTCCCTACTCCTCGGTCATTTATCCTGCGTAATCGCCACGAGAGGCTTAATCGACAATCGACTTGCCCTTGCCCTTCCCCTTGCCCTTCCAATCGCATAGCGCAGGTGTCCTTTAGCATCGACTTTATGTTGTCAGTACCCTCATCTAGCACTCTACTTCCGGACTAAATGGCTCAGGAATAATGCGGCTCAAACTGCGCGCTCAGGTTATCGCCTCGTAATTGGGAGCCCAACCAACGGTCGTCGCTCCTTTATAGCTCGACAAACGCATCACACGAGTACAGTGTCGCGTAAAAATGCTAAGCGCACGTCCCATGCGTACGTATCCTTATCACCTCTTAAATTTTAAGCGAGAGTAATGTTTAGGGAATCGGGGGTGGGGAGGGTGGG